TGACTCAGTATTTAAGAACATTCAAATTTTTTGTAAACACTGAAACTAACACATTTTTTAATTTTGAAAACTCCCTACCCACGTACAATCACCTGAATGATATTTTGCATCTAATAAATAATCATTTTAAAGGCTTATCACTTGGTGAGAAGCTAGCTGAGTGTGTTATTAATTTCTTATGTTAAGTGGAAGAGTTTTTATTGACATTACAAAAAAGGACAAATAAATGGCCACTGTGAGCATTGATTAACAATAGTAGAAATGAGATATTAACATTTTTTTATAAATCATGTGAAAAAATTGTTTATGATGTTATAGATTCATCTAGCTTTTAGGTGAAAAAGTACTATTGATTCATCATTTCCTAGCAACCGTTTTATTTATTAAAAAGCATAGTTCATGGTTTTGCACAACCACAACACCTGGCATTGTATTAAGGTTTTGGTCATTAATCGAAGGCATATCCTGTTTAAAAACCTCCAAAAAGGCCCACATCCAGCTCCCTACAGAGACATCAAAGAATTATATAGACTGGTGTTAGCTAGACACATATGCTGCCTGTTGTTGGTTCCAGTAAAAAGACCTACAGTAGCCACTAAGCCATTCTTAATACCTGAACTTTACTAACTCTTCAAACATCCAATCCTCTACAGCCACACCCTATGCTCAGCTCCCATATCTATTGTTCTTACTCATCTTTCAAGTTCAGAATCTGTCCCCCTTCTACTTTCTATAGATGAAGCAGGTCAATGGGGGAGAAAAGTTGACTGTCCAAACCATCATTTTTTGACTCTTTGAAGACAGTGCTTATGTGTATGTGTGTGTTTGTTTTCAGTGAGGGGAGATGGTCAAAGAAAAACTTAATGAAGTCAGCTCACTCCCAAGTACATAATTGTTCATAGACTTCACAGTGCTGGCAAGGCTGTAAGTAAATGCCCAAAGCTGTGTAGATATTTCTAAGAGTGCTCAAGCTCAGTCTTCCAGGCAACTGGTCAGTCTCACGTAGTCTCCCAAAGTTTTGAACAAGACCCGAGGAAGGAATTGAACATTGGCTGAATAGCAGTATTCCCTAGATGGGCAAGGGGAAGAGAGACTTTGTATAGAGGTAGCCTCATGCAGAGATGTCCGTAGGAGATAGCAGGCAAGCTCAAGTAAAGAAGCACTGCAGTGTTCCTGGAGTGTTGCATGGATGGTAGCTTGTCAGATGGTGAAGTGCAGGGTTGGGATCCCGTTGCAGGGTCACTGCCTGTAATAGGAACATGTTTTGAGTGTGTGGACTGTAAGAGAATTGTGAGTTTTAGACTCTAAAGGATATTTTATGTACAGCTACAATAAAGTAGACTAAAAAATAGGATATGATATCTTCTTGAACATTTATCAGAGCTGTGCATGTGAACATATACATTTCAGGCATTTCCCTTCTTTGCACGGGCTTGCGTAGTCTGAGTACCAGTGTTTTTTCTGGTCACTATCCACAAACATTCTGCTTTCATTTTCTCTTTTTTTTTTTCCTTCAGTTTAAAGCCTTGTAGTCATTTTTAGTGGATTTCTTTTGGTCATCTTGGTCCATTCTAGCTCTTGGCTGGACACTTCTGTCTATTCTCTTCAGTGGTATTCTAAGGTTGATTATTATTGCTAAACTCTGAAATTGTTTTAATAGTTCCTGAGCTCATGACTGGCTGTTAGCCTCTCAATTCTTAAAACCCTCCTTCTTTTTGGAAAGACTGTTCAAAATACAGCAGCATTCTATTTTATTATTCGAATTACCTTAGACTAAGGAAACAAGATAGAGTGAATGGCAAATTGAATGGAGATAGTAAATTAATCATCGGCACAGGTTATACATGATTGAAGTATTGTTCGAATTAATGGGCTCTAATGCTACCTCTAAAAGTCAGTAATCCGTAGTTTCACTACAGTTCTTGGGGTCAGGGGTCAAGCTGTGCCTTCCAGCTACTTCCTGTTTTCCCCCATCATATATCAGGCAGTGTCTTTACCCTCAAAGCAAAGTGATTTTCCACCTTGCTGCCAGCTAATATCTTGATTATCCATACACACACACACACACACACACACACATACATATATATATATTTAATATTTTATGTTTTTCTGTGCATAGAACTGGGTTGTAGGCCAGAGGTGTTGGAGGCAAAAGCTTCAACAGAGGCAGAGTGAGGAGCAGAATAGGTGAATCTACTAAAAACACACTGCTGAGGGGAGCAGTGGGTGAGAAGGGAGAGGTCTGATGCGCCAGGTGGGTCAGCTCCTTGGCCCGGGATCAAACTCAGGCTGCAGTGGCTACCAACAGCTTCATAGTGCTGATAATTAACCCTTTGCACCACCAGGAGGGCCCACTGATTATCCATTTCTGAAGTGTGATTTTGCTTACATTTGTATAAAGCTAACATCTGTTAGGTATGGAATGAAATAGAAGAAATTTCTCCTTAAGAATTTTGGATTC